TCCTGGACACCCCCAGCATGGTCCTGGGCACCCCTGGGACACCCAAGTATGGTCCTGAGCACCTTCAGCATGGTCCTGGACATCCCTGAGATCTCCCAGGACCCCTTAGCATGGTCCTGGACACCCCCAAGAGCACCCCAAGGCCCCCAGCCTGGTCCTGGATGCCCCCAGGCACCCCCAGGCACCCCCAGCAGGATCCTGGACACCCCTAGTGGGGTCCTGAGCACCTCCAGCATGGTCCTGGGCACCCCTGGGACACCCAAGTATGGTCCTGAGCACCTCCAGCATGGTCCTGGACATCCCTGACACCCCCCAGAACCACCTAGCATAGTCCTGAACACCCCCAAGAGCACCCCAAGACCCCCAGCGTGGTCCTGGGCACCCCTGGGACACCCAAGTGTGGTCCTGGGCACCTTCAGCATGGCCCTGGGGTCCACTAGGACCCTCTAGCATGGTCCTGGATACCCTCAAGAGCACCCAAAGACCCCCAGTGTGGTCCTGGGTGCACCCAGGGCGCCCCAGTGTGGTCCTGGGGACCCCTGGGAGCCCCCGAGCATCCTCAGGACTCTCTGAGCACCCCGAGCATGGTCTTGGGCACCTCCAGCAGGGTTGTGGACACCCTGGGGACCCCCTGAGCACCCCTAGCATGGTCTTGGGCACCCCTGGGATCCCCCAGGACCCCCTAGCATGGTCCTGGACACCCCCAAGAGCACCCCAAGACTCCCAGCCTGGTCCTGGGTGCCCCCAGGTTTCCCCAGGGACCCCCAGTGTGGTCCTGGACACCCCCGGGAGCCCCCGAGCACCCTCAGGACCCTCTGAGCACCCCCAGCATGGTCCTGGGCATCCCCAGCAGGGTCATGGATACCCTGGGGACCCCCTGAGCACCCCCAGCTTGGTCCTGGACGCCCCTGGCACCCCTCAGGCACCTCCAACGTGGTCCTGGGCACCCCCAGGACCCCCTAATGTGGTCTTTGCCACCCTGGGAGCCCTCTGGACACCCCAATGTGATCCTGGGCGCCCCCA